AGCGGTACGGCCTAGCGTGCGTTCATTGTTTACTATTTATTCATTGTGTATTAAGTATAGTACCTAGTAATGGCATCACAAACTCAAAGCGAAAGCACAAAACATTGACAATTAAAGAAAAATGTGATATTTTAGACCGCTTAAATCGCAATTAAACTTTCAGTAGTTTAGCAAGTGAATACGGCGTAGGCCGATCTACAATTTATGACATTAAAAGAAACCACGAGAAGATCAAGAAGTTCGTGTCAACTACTGACTGCGGGCCAGGCAAGCGACAGACATTCAAGAAAGCTGAACATCCAGAACTGGAAGAAGATTTGTACATGTGGTTTCTTCAGGAAATAAATAGGCATGCACCAATTTCAGGACCCATGTTGTCCATGAAATCTAAGTTCTTTTATAAGGAAATAACAAAAAAAGATGATTTTGTGGCGAGCAAAGGATGGCTAGAACGTTTTAAAAGTCGTCATGGCATACGTTTAATGACTATTACAGGAGAGAAACTTTCTAATGATGCCACCTGCATAGAGCCCTTTAAATTAAGATTTTTGCAAAAGGTGAACGATTTAAATCTTGACCCGTCACAGGTGTACAATGCAGACGAATCAGGGCTTTTTTGGCATGTGATGCCTAACAAAACTTTCTTGTAACGAAAAATCCGTACCTAGACGAAAAGTAAGTAAAGAGCGTGTAACCATACTACCATGTGCTAACGCTGCGGGCACACACGCGCTTAAGATGATGGTCATTGGGAAATCTAATAAACCACGGGCATTCAAAAACATTGATTTACCTGTACACTATTACAGACAAAAAAGTGCATGGATGACAAAAGACCTTTTCAAAAAGTGGTTTGATGAATGCTTCGTACCGGAAGTTAGAAAACGGTTAAAAGATCACAATTTTCCTCAAAAAGAGTTGTTGCTTCTTGATAACGCTCCCGGTCATCCGTCTGAAGAAGAACTAACAACTGAGGATAAATGCATCACTGCGATGTTACTTCTGCCAAATTGCACTGCACTGCTTCAACCAATGGACCAGAATATCATTCAGTTTGTCAAGCAAGACTATAAGAAAAACCTACTTCTGAGAGCCGTATCAAAAGACCAACCAATAGAAAAAACTTTAAAAGAATTTAATATGAAAGACTTGGTTTTTGCTCTTTGTCAGTGGTGGAATGCGTTACAGTCATCAACTATTAAATCGTCTTGGAAAAAGTTATGGCCAGATATAGTCACCACTCCTAGCAACGTTCCACAAATCAGTGTTACTTCGGAATAAGTCGCTACTGAAACACAGATAAGTCCGGAAGATTTGGAAATCTGGGGCCGTGGAATGGATAAAGAGGAAAATGTTTTTCATGAAATGTCTGACGAAGAGATTATAAAAGAGGTTTCTAATTATACAACAAACAATCAGGAAAATAACGACGACGTGATTGCAACTGCTCCACAAGTCACAGCACAAGATGCAATTAACGTCTTTGAGCTAGGTTTACAATGGGCTGAAGAGAATTACTTTTGAGAAGACTGAGCGACAAAGCTCTGATCTTGCGTTACAACAACCTTAAGCAAAAAAAAATTCCTGAATATTTCCAAGCTTCATAATTTGATAAATTCATTAATGATTTTGATTAATAATTCTTGATTATTTTGGTATGTGCATTTATGCTTAATTTTATAATAAAACGTAAGCTCTCTATTGTTATTTAATTTACTAAATTCGACATACATAAACTATGTATGATTTGTACTTCAAAGTACATAGATAGAAGTATGTATCTGTGAGTTCGACAATATTTTAGCCTTTGATTAACATTTTAAATATATCCCTAAAAAGATATCAAACAAACTATACCTTTTTCAGTGATAAGGAGCTTCCTGTTACTTCATAAAAAGCTAACAGTCTAAAAAAGCATAACTCAAACACATTTAGCCTTTTTTCAACATATAATTACTCCAATATAACTTAATTAGCTAATCTGCAAAAACCACAATATCGTAAGAGTTATATTGAGATGTAATCGATTGTCACCTGTAGAGCTGATTAAGATATTATTTTTTTTAGACTGTATTACAGAGTGTTCTTTCTATCTGACTATGGTTTTCATATTTAACATATTTCGACGAATGGCTAGGTACTGGATTAATCAGATCATTTTTGCTTGTAATTTTTCACTTTTATCCAGCAAACATAAACATATACAACAAATTGCCTAAGTACAACAAAGAACTCCTCATAGATTCAAAAAAGCTACTTACAAATATAGAGGTTGTTCATTTGAAAACTTCCCACTACAAATTTATTGAAAACCACTGATTAAAAGAAAAAACGCCGAGATTTGTTAAGGGGATAACTTTTTAACCAAAAACTACTTCATCCCCTTTCACCATCGGCCCCCCGGGGTCATTAACTAATAAATTTTGAGTGACAAGCGGTATCAGTAATAGCTTCTTTGAAAAGGCTTTCAAAGTCCTTTAATTAAGTGTTTGATTTTTAAAATCAGTCGATTCGTTTTTGAGAAAACTAGAAAAATCTTTATTTACCTCAATTTGTTCAGACACAAAACAAAAACACACGTAAATATCACTTTTTATTTCAGTAAGTGTTCAAAATGTTGCCCGTTATGGCCAAATTTACAATTCGTTTATAATTTAAAACGGAAACTTCCAACATAAACAGCAATTCTGAAGATTTTACGTGGCAACAATCAAATAACAACCCGAATTTAGCCGCATCCTTTTCATCAACTCAGATATTCTGGGCGAACTGCATTTATTGTTATACTTGTTCAGTTATTTGCTGCTAAGGGAAGAACAAAATTATTTTGCTGTCAGTTACCTTTGTGACAATCTTGAAATAGTGGAAATTAGTTTGTTGGTTCAGATTTTACTTCCAAAATGTTTTACACACTAGCTAAATTTATGGTGCCCAACATCAATGAGCAATGGACCTTATTACTAAACTTACTCAAACTAGATCTGTTGCAAATATAAAACGTGATCGTCGGAGAGTTTTGGATGAAGTTGAAGTTTTGGATTATTTTGGAACAAATCCTAATACTTCATTACGCAAAATTGTTGCTGCGACTTTTATTTCATTGGGCTCTGTTGACACAGTAACCAAACTCCATAAATTTCATCCATCCAAAACGAAAATATTGCAAGAGGTGATTTCGATAGTAGTTTAGTTTGTTTTTCTGATTGATGTCCTTTTCTTTCCAAATATACTAACCTTGAGGTACCTGTTGTGTTTGCTACATGTTTACTGATTTGTTGCTGTGTATTTTTATTGATTGGAGGGGAGACCGGGGCTGGTTGTCACATGGGTTGGTTGTCACAATTGTTAAATCTCAGCAGCTCCGCAAGATGTAGTTGCCTGGCGCGCTACACATCGTTTCCGCGTCCGCGCAGAATACTTGTATTCAGTACGAAAGTTGTCGTTGGTAGATTAAGGTCGCACACACAAAAATAAACAAATCGCCTGACCTGAGTAAATTTTTCGTTTGCCAGATAATTTATGTTTTCAAGACTACATTTGATAATAAAAATAACTGTTAAATTTATTTTGCTCTTCAATAATCCGAATACGACTTAACGTAAGTATTGACTTTGAATTTCTTAATTTAGTGACGCTAACTAACCTTAAAAATTAATTATCTAGTGGGGCAGGTTGTCTCAAATTAGCGGGGGCGTCTTGTCACATGGGACAACCAGCCCCCACACTAGACGATTAGCTTTGCACATCATTCTACGTAGGTATATGTATATAATGTATGGAAGACTGAGAAGGGCCAAGCGCCGCCTGACGTACTTTTAAGAGCAGCTAGATTAGTGAGATTAGGATCCTCAATACGAAAAGCGACAGCTGGCTTCAATGTAAATTACCGTACTTTAGCAAGATATATATATATATATATATAGTGGAATATGTAGTCAAAGCATCTAATATTTATTTTGGATTTTCACCCAAGAAAGTACGTGGACTGGCATATGAATTTGTTAATGCTAATTCCTTGAAAATGCCGGAAAATTGGAAGCTCCATAAAATAGCTGGTCCTGACTGGTTTAGTGCGTTTCTAAAAAGTCATCCTGTACTGCCTATTCGCAAGCCGGAAGCAACTAGTTTAGCAAGAACCGTCAACGCATTTTTTGATAATTTAGCTTCAGTTATGGAAAAACATAGATTTGAGCCTCACGAAATCTGGAACATGGACGAAACTGGGATTACAACTGTCCAAAGACCAGACCGCGTTGTTGCCAGAAGAGGATTCAAACAGGTTGGTTCGACAGTTTCATCAGAAAGAGGAACTCTTGTTACTTTAGCAAGTGCAGTATCAGCTATTGAAAATTTTTTTTCTTGGAGATTCTTAAGGTGGGTCCAGACATGCAACAAAACGCCGTGTAATGACACCGTCCCGCAACAACTATATGTTACGCGTCTAAGTCACGGTGTGTACTTTTTTTCATACCATCGCGTATCTTCAAAGCAGAACATTCTGTCGTTCCGTTTTTCCTAGTGCGTTTATAATGGAAGTCGCCGCTGCTGCCTATATATTCATGCATTATTATGTTAAGAAGAATCAAAAAAAGCGAAGAGAAAAACGTTTTTGGCAGAGGCAGTTGTTCGTAAAAAGAAATGTGTACAGTGGAAGTAATTTGCTCATAGACTTGAAAATGAGCGGCCTCTACAAAAATTTCACCAGAATGTCCGCAACAGACTTTGAATATTTGATTAATTTGATTGGACCCAAAATATTACGAAAAGATACCAGCTGGAGAAAGGCAATTTCTGTACAAGACAGATTGGCAGTTACGCTTCGATTTTTGGCGACTGGTGATTCCTTCACAAGTCTTCAGTACCTCTTTAAAATATCTAAGCAATCTATAAGCACTATAGTTCCTGAAGTGTGTGAAGCAATAATAGAAGGATTACATGACAATATACAGGTAAAAAAATAAAGGTTTGACACAATAACTCTATATTTTAAACAAAATATTGCTTACATTAAATAAACTGTTGCTCACATTAAACATTTGCACTAACTACAAGCTCTGTAGTTCAATGTGGGACATATCCAATAACTCGTGTGGCAAAGAAGGAGGGAGAGGAGTATTATTGTCACTCGAGGTCGAGGGATTTGAATTACCATAACTATATGTTGGAGATGACAACTGTGATGGCTCTTGATTAAAACAGGATTCTTGGTTAGCCTGATAATTCGAAAAAAATGAGTGAATAGTGTCAGTACGTTGTGGTGGGGATTAGAAATTGCTTGAATTTTGGCGAATATGGATGCTGTCTGCTTTAAATAAAATATTCATAATCGCTTGTTGTGTATTGGTCTGCAATTCAGGCGAATATTTAGCCAATTTTTTAGCCACAAGATTTCCAAATATCTGACATTCGTTGTGTCCTTCTGGGTTATTGGCGTTTGCTGATGCTTTTGACAGTATCTGAAAAGCTCTATCTAATTTATCAGAATCTTCACTTTTTCTTTGCTGTTTTCTAATTGGTGTTACATCCGTCAATTTTCTTTTCGGTCTATTATGTATAACCTCCTGAGTCTCCTTCACAACGTCGTTATCTGTCAATGTTGATTCACCATCAGATACCTCATTATCATCTGTTTCTTCGTCTTCAATCTGTAATTAAATAGTAGTCCTAGTCATTTTCAAGAATATTCACATTGCGATAGAAAATAAAGATATCAGTTATTTGTGGGCATATCGCGTAATTTCTCATGACACAATTTGTTCTAATTGTTGCAGATACCGACAACACCAGAATCATGGCTGGACGTGGCAAAGCAATTTGAAAAAACCTGGAATTTTCCGCATTGCCTTGGAGCTTTAGATGGAAAGCATGTGGTTATTCAAGCACCATGCAACACTGGAAGCGAATTTTTCAACTACAAATCTACGTTCAGCGTTGTTCTTTTCGCCTTAGTGGATGCTAATTATAATTTATTGTACGTCAATGCTGGTGGCCAAGGGCGAATTTCAGATGGTGGCATCTTTAAAGATTGTTCACTTTACAAAAAACTAGTGAAAAATCAGTTGAATTTTCCTGAACCAGAAACTTTAAAAGGCATGCAACGGAAAATTCCTTATTTTTTCATCGGAGACGAGGCATTTGCATTCACTGATTCGCTAATGAAACCGTTTTCGGGAACGCATCTTAAAGGATCCATACAAAGAATATTCAACTATAGATTATCTCGTGCTCGAAGAACTGTAGAAAATGTGTTTGGTATTGCTTCGGCCGTTTTTCGAGTACTCCATAAACCCATGCTACTTGAACCCGCAAAAGCTGAAATAATTGTAATGGCAATAGCTCATCTACATAACTTCTTGAGAAAAAGCTCTACATCTTCTACTTTGTATATGCCACATGATATGTTCGATACCAAATCACCTTTACCAAGAGCAACAAATGAAACAATGTCTTCTCTATTGCCACTTAAAAATATTCCCCGATAACCAACTGATAACGCGAAAATAATCAGAGACGAATTGGCACTATACTTTCAAAATGAAGATCCACTTGTGTATCAAGATAATTATGCGTAACACAATACTTACGGTACTTTTTGTCTGTCGAACTTTATTTTTGTCCCAAAGAAACAGCAAGCTTTTGAAAGCAAACCAACTACTTTCATACACATCAGAACGACCTGCAATGAATATAATATGTTCGATATGTTAATAAGTAAATAAAATACATAAATAAAAAATATAATGTAATTATTCACATTTACCTATTCCTGTGCCTTTGCTTTTTTTAATCTTTGCTTTTTCTCGCCTAAGTGCCGACAATAACACATTCATTTTCTTTTTGCATTCATCTATCGTGGTTTTAAATTCTACAGCGAGCTCATTCCAAGAATCGTTTTTCTTTATTTTATTATAATATGTACTGGGAATTTTGTGGATCCCACAAAATTTCTTTGCTTCTATAACTGTTAATGAATTTAATCGTTACTTCTTCAGTCCACTCCATAATAAACCTGTCAGTATTACTCAAAACACAGAAACAAAGTAGATCGCACCTTTGTTACGCAGACCAGTCCAAACCTGCTATCCAGTGGTGCAACATCAGCGCGTATCGTTCCTTTGATGCGACACCAAAATACCGACATCTCGTGGGACGCCTCGATGTTACTATGTTGCGGGGTTACGTTGATACGCTCCAACGTCTACACTTGTTACGCAGTGCTGTTACGATACGGTGTTTTGTTGCATGTCTGGACCCACCTTTAGATTTTTTCACCTTCATGTGAAAAGTACTGTGGAAAGACCGTACCTGCTTTACTAGTTAACCATGGATCACAACTGGGTATAGAAGGACTAAATTTTGCCAAAGCACATGGCATTGTCATGCTCTCAATTTACCCTCACTGTTCACATAAACTTCAACCTCTTGACCGCGCCGTTTTGGGCCGTTTTAAGACATATGTAAATACTTCCTGCGATGCTTGGGTTTTAAATAATCCCGGTAGGACCATGACTATATACGAGATACCTTCAGTGGTCTCTATTGCATACCCCCTCGCATTTACTCCCAAAAATATACAGTCTGGATTTCGGGTGTCGGGTGTATTTCCTTACAACAGAGATATCTTCACGGATGATGACTTTCTTGCGAGCTCTGTCACTGATAGGCCAGATCCGGGTATCTTGAACAAAGCAATAACTGGATAAAACCCGGAAACCTTAAACGAAAAGGAAGTTGGGCCAAATCCAATCATCTTGAACGAAGATGAAGCTGTAAGTCTGATAAATATTAACACGCAGGAAGCAATTGATACGAGAGAGCAAAACAGCTAATCAAACTAGTTTTGATGATCCCTAGTAAGGCTGCATACGGGAAATACCGAGTATAGTACTTCCAGAAAGTTTAAGACCTTATCCAAAGGGATCGGCAAGAAAAATGAATCGACTTTCCCGTCGTAAACGAGGGACGGCAATACTCACTGACACTCCAGTAAAAGACGAATTAGAGAAAGAGAAAAATAAATGCTGGAACAAGAAAAATAGGAACAGGGAAACAGTGAAGAGACGTTTTTGATTCAGAAAATAATCTGAGGAAATCTAAAAAAATTTAAAAACGCAAGTCCTGTTCAGATAATGGAACTGATGGAGGAGAATGTTTTTGCTTGATTTGTCTTGAACCATTTTCTAACAGCGCGCCAAATGAAGAATGGGTGAAATGCTCATCGTGTAATGGTTGGACTCATGATGCGTGCACTGATGGACGCGAACTTTACATATGTCATAACTGCCATAGTGGTTAATTGTAAAAAAAATCTTCCACTTCTTTCTCATAAAGATTTGGTGTTTAATAAGCATTTTTTGTAATAATAAATATGTTTAAAAGTATGATTTCATAATTTATTAACGATCTAAAGTACACGTGACGACCAACCCCAAGCAATGTGACATCCAGCCCCAGCAAGCGGCAAGTTGTCACATTTGTTTCTGTATTTTGAAACATTTTAATTTAATATTGTGAATTATTTTACAGCCTTATCGATTTTACATAGTGTTCCCAAAGGATAAACCATATTAGTTATGCACCAAATATGTGCATATAACGCTTCAGATCGAATAAAAAAAAGATTTACTGAACATTGTGACAACTAACCCCGGTCTCCCCTATTAGATAATAATCTAACTAAGTAAATATATTATTCGTATAACTTAGGTGCGAAAGTAAACATAAATCACCAAAGCCATCTAAACTGTAGCTAGAGTCGTAATTTTCCTCAAAAGCCACTAAAGATACACTGTTGTTAGATGTGAGTTCAAAATCTTAGCTAAGTTTTCACCAAAACGGAGTGGTGCACCAAAAGCTCAATTTGAGGTCGACCTTAGCATTCAGATTTGCTAAGCGGTATATCTGAGAGAGGCAGTGCAATCAGTCACAAGACTTGGTATATCAATTAATCCTGAGCCCATTATACATCGTCATATCAAGTCGCACATTCATATGTATATGAATCGTAAAACGAACATAATACATACACATAATTTCGCGCACAAAGCACTTCGTATCGGGCAAAACGATACAATCAATAAGAAGTAACGGTGTTATTCAATGTACTGCAATGGGAGACATAAAGGCATGTAATAACACGTATGTAATGCTGCTAATGTATCTGCGAAACGCGACGCAGGAAGGTTATGATTTGCCATAATAGTTGTCATTATCCTGGACAGCAGAAAGGACGCTGTTATCAAGATATACCGCTCTGGCTCGTGCTATCGTTTAACATGGCGTAGTACTAATGATCTTTGTACGGATGTGGTATTTGCACGATATGTACCGGCATGTCTGATTTGGTATCATAGTTCTCGAATCCTTTCTAAATACCACACAGAACCTACTGAGCGGGGCTGTGGCAAATGCTTGTTCCGGAGGTTGTTGTATCCAGTATACAACTTCTTCCCGTTCAAGTGGTTGTACACGCGTTAAGAAATACCTCAGTACCGATTGCCGGGTGGCGGTACAAGTCCGCCAACAGGCCACTTTAGGCCTATTTAACATCACTAACACGTATAAGGAAGGTGGTAGACAAGGACCAGTCGACCGAGGCAGTACAACCCGCTAGCTTTTCCCAGGGTCTCTTATAAATGTCCGCATGTTTCCACATGTAAGCTATACAGTCGGTTATCTTCCAAAACAAAGAAATTAATGATGATGGATCTCTCGAGCACTAAGAACTCCGGACGTAAACTCACTCCACTCTCGGAATGTCCGGGTGGAGGGCGCCTGACTTTGGCGTCCCATCCTAACCGTGTCGAACTTCGTACATCCAGAACAGGCCGATACGACCGCTCCTTTGTCCTGAGGGTGTCGAGATTGTGGAACAATCTACAAGAGGAAGCTTTTCCCAGTTCTGTTAACCTTAGGCAGTTCAAAAATCGTATCAATAAAATTTCTTTGGGATCATCATAGCAGCCGCGGTGTTCCGGCATTTAGGCTTCTGCCTGCGCGGCTGCTTCGATTTAAAAAAAAAGAAAAAATAAACCGAGTTTTAGTAATGGTAAGATCATACTGTATAATATATTGTTATTAGAAACTTGCTAGGTATTGCAAGTAATATAATTCACCGAAAATGCTGCGCTAGGCAGAGTAATGACCGAGGTACCTTTCAGTACCTATCAATATACATTTTTAGACAGAACAAAGTTAATCATCCTGAAATCAAGTTGTGTTATTAAGGGCGCAAAAGCCCGATATAGATCAATTACAGAGTAAAATTAGGCCAAAGAGGCAGTTTAATCAACTACGAGACATCGAACAGGCTTAATTATTTTTATTAAACTGCGATTTCTGCAACAGTCTAGATCTATGATAATCCGAACACCCAGTTTAAATGGTTTTATTTTAATAAAATTTTGTATAAGTACTTAATGACGCATAATAAGTAAATGATAGAAATTTCAAATTGATTGAACTGCTTTAAAGCCCTTTGACCTTTAATAATGTGTGGATGCACCCTGATGTGCTACGCATTCTCCATCGCGCCTAGGCATGCTTCTGATCAGGTGGTCAATGTCCTCCTGTGGTATCTCATTCCAGGCAACCACCAGCTCCTCTCGAAGTGCTTCTACAGTCTGAGGAGGACGTTGCAAATTGAGCAATCTCCTACCCATCATATCCCACACGTGCTCAATTGGGGATAAGTCGGGAGATCTTGGTGGCCATGGTAACAATGTGACATCATTATGTTGAAAGAAGTCTATTGTGACTCTTGCAACATGTGGTCGGGCATTATCTTGTTGGAAAGTTGGATCTGAAGGGTGTCAAGATACGGTAAAAGATGGGGTACTAGAATTACGTGGATATCACACTGCGCGTTCATGTTACCTCTGATGAAGAATAAAGGTGACCTGGAACCATAAGCTATAGCACCCCAAACCAAAACTCCAACAGTGTGATGAACATGTCTTTCAACAAAAAACTGTGGATTTCTCCTTTCACCATGTCGCCTTCTAACCCTGGCACGACCATCGTGCATGCCTAAACAAAATCTAGACTCGTCACTAAAGACAATACTGTTCCATTCCTGATCCCAGGGTGACCGTTGTCTGCACCACTCAAGGCGATTACGTCGGTGTTCTCGAGTTAAAGGGAGGACCCAGTGTAGCCGGTATGAAAACAAGCCAAAACTTCTCATTCGTCGGTAAACACTTCGCATGCCAATAGGTCTTCCGTGATCTGCAAACCATTCATTTGCAATGGACCTGGTAGTGGAGAAACGGTCCCTTAAGGCCAATAATCTTAGGCGGCGATCTTCACGGTCTGTTGTTCTACGGCGGCGTCCAGTGCCCCTTGCTCTTTGCGTACGGCCTTCTCGAAGCCATGCCTGTCAACACCTAACCACAGTGTCTACACTTCTTTGCACTCTAACTGCAATTCCCCGAAAAGAAAGTCCAGCTTCCCGAAGTCCCACTATACGGCCCCTATCAAACTCACTAAGTTGACGAAATAGTACAGGTCTCCGTACTCTAGGCATCGTAACCGATCGTAAAGAATGTCAAGAACCAAAATCCGCCAACGTTGATTCTTTACTGCGGCTGAAATATTCATTTTTAGAGCGTTAGTGAATTTAAAAAAAGCATTATAAAAACCGGAATGTCCAACTGATAAGGCTGAAAATTTTTTCACTTGTTATTTACAGTAAGATAAATACATTCACCAACTTTTATTAAAATAAAACCATTTAAACTGGGCGTTCGGATTTATATGTCACTTAGTATAATTAAATTAAAACGTAATCATTCATTAAAATGTACTGGTACTGGTAGTACGAATATATTACTTTCAATCAAACTGTTTCAAGAAAGTTCAGTTTAGTTAAGCCAAATATTTTGGTTACTTGAAATAATTAAAAAGACCATGACGAATAATGTCAATATTCCAGAACAACCGTTTATTCGACCATGTTTTCCCAGTGTATGGGACGTGTCGGTTTAACATTGTCGAATATGTCGTCTTCCCTTAGGAAAAAATTACCGAAATCGCAAAACCTTTCGGAATCCAAAAGTAGCATGCAAGATATCAATCCTTGTTTCAAGGCTGTGGAGCCGTCCCTTACATATCTGGAAAAAGTTTGTCTC